TTTTGTTGATCATTATCGAATATCATAATTTTGGGATGATAAGTAAGTTTTCTCTGAGCTGGTCTAAAGATAACAAAATTTGTTTTTTTAATATTTAAGTTAATTTATTAGCTGTTAACCAATCGAACAACTTGGAGAGTTCTTGATTTACAGTCGTCTCAAGGGACTTAAGATTTTTGTCAGCATATACAGCATTCATGTCGTCAGCAAATAAAAAAAATTTAAGTTTGTCAGAGGATTCTTGGATATCGTTGAGATAAAGTAAGAACATCCTTGGCTTCTTTAACTTGAGGAGGTAATGAATTTTACATCTTTGCAGCTAAAAATGAAAACCATCTGTGACACCATTGTAAATTAAAATTAGGTAGCATTAAAAGAGTGTGCAACCCTCTTAAATTATAACTACAAATTTTGGTATTGAGAAAATCTTGTATGTAGGGTGGGGCTTGATTATTCATACATCCGTAAACCAAAACTAGGGCCTGAAATTTTCTTCTTTGTTCTAGCATTTTTATTTCAACTTTCTCTAGTAAATAATCATAGGGTGTATATTTCCCATAGCGTAAAATGGACCTGAGAATATAATAATTTGTGTCCTCTAGTTTTTTCAGTTGACATCTACTAGCCCCAAACAATAGCAAACAACAAATGAGGTAAATGATTTACCTCTAAATGAGGGAAAATGTATGCCTTGCAGAGGCATCCCATAATGTCTGAGGGAATAAACCTCCGAATCCTTCTTAATGCGGAGGCTTTGGCACATGCCTTTTTTACTTGCTCTTTCACATAAGCTACAAAGTTAAGCTTGCAGTCTAGCATTGCACCAAGGATATTTAAGGTATCAGTAGTCACCACAGCATTGTTATCTACACTGAAATCATAGCAATAGGATACTGGGCCAATGGCCATAACCTGAGTCTTAAAAACATTGAGCTTAAGATAGTTTTGTCGAAACCATGTTGATAATAAATGAAGATCAGAATTAATAATGTATTCTAGAAGAGGAGGGGAAACGTCCGATGCATATTCAGTAGCGTCCTCTGCATACAACCTTAGTGAAGTGTTTGTAACCAGAAAGTTCAAATCATTAATATATATGTTAAAAAACCAAAGACCCAACAGGAATCCCTGAGGGACACCAACTTTTACTGTTTTCCATCTAGAATAAACACCATCAATTTTGAACCTCTGCCTCCTGTCCCGTGGGTAGTTCTCCATGAACTCTAATACTTGGTCGGTGAAGCAATAAGCTCTAAGTTTTGCTAGCTGTAGGGCATGGCATACAGAGTCAAATGCTTTACTCAGATCAACTGCAATCGTGGCAACAGCCTCACGGTTGTCATGACTCAACCTCCAATCTTCTACCATTTTCAGCAGTGCAGTACAGCAGGAATGACCCTTAAGATAACCAGACAGGTTAGGCAAGAGACTTACAGAAAATGCAGAGTACATTTGGTCTGCTATTACCTTCTCATAAATCTTAGAGAGTGCTAGAAGGATCGACACCGGATGATATTATTTGTCTCATCAGCCTTTTTAAATACTGGGGTGATGTTACTGCTCTTCCATACAGTAGGCCATTAAGCTATTGGTGATGAAATGATTTATAAGTTTGGACAGTGGTTAGGTTATGGCCGGAGCTGATAAGTGTAAGAGCCGCAGGGATATGAAATCACACCCAGCAGCTGCCTTACGTGGATTTAGCTTATCTGAAATATCCCTCATATAGCTCTCACTCACAGTGTTGAAACTAAAACACAGTTTGGCACCCTTCTTCTTCCGATTCATTCAATATTTTTTGTTTGTTGATTTTGTTTTTTGTCCTTTGTTAATTAGCACCACTTTCTGCTCTTTCACGTGATTTTGTACATTTATTAGTTGTCACTTGTAATTATGTAATCGCTAACACCTTAATCTTATGTAAAGCTCATTTTTATTCAAAAATTGTAATAACTGAAGGTCTCTGACTGAAACGTTGTTATTAAATTTTTTAATCTTTTTTATGTCAGAAGTTGTCCATCCTTACAATTTTTTAACTTTCTATCTATATATAGGTTGAATAAACAGGAGAAGATGCGAACTTTTCTCGTAGGAGGTCTTTAATTCAAGTGGACGTTTCGCCCATTCGGGCTTCTTCAACACTAAGAATATCAATACTCAGAATAAAATTTACAAAAAGTGAAAAAGTCTTAAATAAGTTACAAAACAATAACTTACAAAGAGAACAAAGAAATAAAAAATTTTTTCACATAAAATTACATAAGAATTACGTAATAATAAAAATAGCAAAACGCCCACTAAAAAGCAAATAAAGTCAAATAAAATACAGCAGCAAGATGGTGTTAATTGTAGCGAATCCTATTCCTGGAATTAAACTTGCACCTTTTGTTGAGTCCATGAGGTGTGAGGGTGCATAATTGAGCACACCAAAAGGCCTCTCTTGTGAGCAAACGGTCATCAAGACTATTATTATTGACACTAAGATTACACAATTGTTCAATAATGAAAAATTCAAAATCTGCCAGAGTATGAGGCTCTTTGTTAAAATGAATAGCAACTTCACAAGTACGTTTTTTGGTGATCATAGAAGACTTGTGGTTGCGGAAACGAATTTTAAATTCATTACTTGTGGAACCAACATATTGNAGGTGTGAGGGTGCATAATTGAGCACACCAAAAGGCCTCTCTTGTGAGCAAACGGTCATCAAGACTATTACTATTGACACTAAGATTACACAACTGTTCAATTAAAAATTCTAAATCTGCCAGAGCATGAGGCTCTTTGTTAAAATGAATAGCAACTTCACAAGTATGTTTTTTGGTGATCATAGAAGACTTGTGGCTGCGGAAACAAATTTTAAATTCATTACTTGTGGAACCAACATATTGCACATTGCATTTCTTGCACGTAACCAAGTAGATGACATTTTTAGATTTACAATTAAGAATCTGTGTAATAGGATACATCCTGCTAGTACTAGTGCTGGTAAAGCAATTGGATTCCTTTAAATAATTGCGACATAGATCACATTTGGCTGTGCATTTAAGCAACCCCACTGATTATCAGGCGCGTGATGTTGCTCATGAGGCTTACTGCTCAAGATTTCTTTGATGTTTTTAGTTCTACGAAAAGCAGGAATGATGGACCCTACCAGAAAAATTTTTCCAAGAGATGGTGAATCATAAATAAGGTGCTTGTATTTCCTAATAATTTTACCAATGCTGGGTAAGCGAGGGTTGAAATCAAGCACAAGTGGAAAAATTTTGTTTGGACTCCTTAGGCTGAAGATGAAGCAATGTTTGTCTAGGAATAGACTGGGCTTTCTCAAACTGTTGTGAAACCAAATTCAGGTTATAACCCTGGTTATATAGATAACCCTTATACTCAGAAGAGCATTCACTAAATGCCTCATCAGTAGAACAATTCCTTTGGATCCTGGTAGCTACTCCATGGGGAATGACCCTGGTAACATGGGCAGGGCGTGCGCTATTCTGTAGCAAGTAAATATGGTTATCTGTAGGTTTGGAGTAGATATCAGTCTGGATGAAACCATCCACCAGATTGAGAGTAAGATCTAGTTCGTTAAGTGAATTGGGAGATGAAACTAGAGTAAATTTAATGGTGGGTACAAAGAATTAATATAATGCGTAAACTCATCGAGTTTAGCAGGCCCTTGGGTCCAAAGATCAAAAATGTCATCCCTGTACCTCCACCACAGGTTGGGTTTAATTTCCCATGATTTGGCTTTCTTATCAATAATTCCCATGGCTAGATCAGCGTAACTGCATGCATTTTTGGGACCCATAGCCGTACCATGAATCTGAAGAAAGTTGTCATTTGCAAAAAACGAATTACTGTGCTTAAGACAAATTTGAATCATGTGGATCCAGAAATTTCAGATAACGACCAAAGTCAACAAAGAGAGGGATAAAGATCGAGCTCAAGAAGCAAAACACTCAGTTAAATATTGATGTATACGGTAGTCTTCTTGAAGGAGAGCGACACCAGTCTCTGGCGATACCAGACAAAATTATATTTTGAAATGAGCCAAAGNCCAGATTGAGAGTAAGATCTAGTACGTTAAGTGAATTGGGAGATGAAACTAGAGTAAATTTAATGGTGGGTACAAAGAATTAATATAATGCATAAACTCATCGAGTTTAGCAGGCCCTTGGGTCCAAAGATCAAAAATGTCATCCCTGTACCTCCACCACAGGTTGGGTTTAATTTCCCATGATTTGGCTTTCTTATCAATAATTCCCATGGCTAGATCAGCGTAACTGCATGCATTTTTGGGACCCATAGCTGTACCATGAATCTGAAGAAAGTTGTCATTTGCAAAAAACGAATTACTGTGCTTAAGACAAATTTGTACGGCCTCATTACTATGCAATCAGTAGATGGAAATTTGACTGAGAATCTACATTTGAATCATGTGGATCCAGAAATTTCAGATAACGACCAAAGTCAACAAAGAGAGGGATAAACATCGAGCTCAAGAAGCAAAACACTCAGTTAAATATTGATGTATACGGTAGTCTTCTTGAAGGAGAGCGACACCAGTCTCTGGCGATACCAGACAAAATTATATTTTGAAATGAGCCAAAGCAAACCGAACTAGCAAAACGTAAACATGATGTCAATACCATGCAGACCAACATGTGTGTGACCTTTGACATGACATTTGCTACACCCCAGTCAAACGGCCCTCCTCTATATAAAACTCTTCTATAGAAGGCCAAATTATTTATTGACTAGCTCGTGACAGCTCCTTAGCTAATTAGTGGTGGTCGGCGAAATTAAGGTTACTTCCCACTGTCAAGAACGAAAAAAAATCATTTTTTCTTTTATTTGCCTAAATTGAAGTTTATCGTTTTATCTAACATTTACAGAAAAAACTTAAAAATGTCAAAAATCGCCGACGTTTAACAAAATTTGTTTCCAATAAAAGTTAATAAACAATGAAGGTGTCATAATCTCATAAGTAGGTGACATCTCAGAGGAAATTTCGCAGGAAGCGGGTTCTTGTTTCATGTGATTTACATATTTTCTTTGTGCATTGCACGTTTGAGTTTCATGGAGAAATCTAAAACAGAAAGAAGTCCTTGGGTAAAATCAATGAAAAAACCAGGGCCAAAGAAGAGAAAAAGGAAAGGTTTTGGGGAAGA